AGGATTCCTAAAAGCTAAGATGGGAGGTTAAGTTCTTAGATGGAGAAGAAAGAGAACATTAGAAATCTCTCTCCAGAAAGAATGTGAGCAGCTTTGAACTCTGAAAGTTTTGGTCATTATTTAGGTCATTACTAAGGAGTCTTTTATTTGGGGGCATGACATAATGAGATAACGATGGCCTTATGGCTCCCTGTTCTCTTGCTTTTGTATTTAACTTCTCTTCCCCACTTTCACCAGAGATTGTGGAGGAAGAAATGAGGAGTTTGGATCATTCCAACAAACTGTCCAGAGCATTTTTGTTGGATGAAAGTGAATCATCATGGAGCTTATTGTTACAAAGTTGTTATTTGTATTTTTATATACTTATAATTTGTTACTCTACAGATTAAATAACTTAAGAAATAGTCTGAAAATTTTAACAATTTTAAGAAATGAGACAAAAAAAAAAAGGTTACGTCTCTGTGAAGTTTGGGTAAGAAATCAGCATTCAGATAAGGACACGTGCACACGAATGTTCATTGCAGCACTGTTTACAATAGCAAAGACCTGGAACCAACTCAAATGCCCATCGACGATAGACTGGATAGGGAAAATGGGGCACATATACACCATGGAATATTATGCAGCCATCAAAAACGATGAGTTTGGGTCCTTTGTAGGGACATGGATGAACCTGGAAACCATCATTCTCAGCAAACTGACAGAAGAGCAGAAGATCAAACACCGCATGTTCTCACTCATAGGCGGGTGTTGAACAATGAGAACACATGGACACAGGGAGGGGAGCACTACACACTGGGATCAGTTGGGGGGAAATAGGGGAGGGACAGTGGGGGGTGGGGAGCTGGGGAGAGATAGCAAGGGGAGAAATGCCAGATGTAGGTGATGGGGAGGAAGGCAGCAAATCACACTGCCACGTGTGTATCTATGCAACAATTTTGCATGTTTTTCACATGTACCCCAAAACCTAAAATGCAATAAAATAAATAAATGGGAAAAAAAAAAGAAATCAGCATTCAGGTTTTACTGATATGTAAACTGACAACACTATATAAATAAGAAAGGCAAAGGAAATAACCTAGGCATCTCTGTTTAGGACATTGGTTCTTAAACCTTTGCAAACTTATGTTTCTGTTTCAGTATATAATAGAAATGCTAGAATTTCTTCCCAGGAAAATACCATGGGTGCTTATTTATGAAATTTCATCTAAAACTTTAGGGTTTTTCTGACTTTCTGGAAACACTACATGGCTCTTCTGGGCATCCATAGTTGTCAAGTTATAAGACCGAGCCAAAACAAGTTACAGAATACAAGATTTAGAGCATTGCTTCAGAGACCAAAGGAGCAGCAGAAGTGCCTAAAATACCCTATGGGGCAGTTTAGGAGTTGAAATCACTGGGATCTTCAGAAATACCTGGCATCATTTTAACTAATATGAAATAGAAAATGAGTTAATTATGATTTTCTATTTAAGTTTTAAAAGTTTAAATTACTTTTACTCAAGGAAAATTGCTGTATGTCTTGAAAACAATATGATAGATAAATGCAAATATTCATGAGCTGAAATGAGAAAAGCTTTAGGGCTTATTCCAAGCTGATGAAACTTAAACTAGTAGTTTAAGCTCTCTGAGCTTTGGTTTTATGGGTTGTTTTTTTTTTTTTTTTTTAATAATAAAGTATTGGACTGTGTTATATTGAAGCCCTCTATATGTCCTAAAATTTGATAATTTAAATAAACTCATCTAAGTCTAAAAAATTAATACAAATTAAAAACTTCTAAAAATGAGAATCGCTACAATTATTCCCAGAGTAACGTATTTTCAGGAAGTGATTCAAAGCTAGATGTGGTTGAATTGCCAAATGGCTGAATTTGCAAAAGTAGGCGATAATTAAGTCGTTATGCTCAACCCTTATTAAATATTAATGAATTCTCCATGACTTTGAATTGGAAGCGTATTTTACATGAGAGGTTCTTACTGGGCTGTCGGAATGATGAATCATCTCTCACTCAGAGGTGGTCTTCCCCAGCTCCAAGGTACTCACAGGCACTACCAGGAAATTTATCTGTGGTTGACTGTGTTGTATTTGGCTTTTAACTATTTTTTAAAAAAAGAAATTTTCAATATTGATATCACCATGCTTTAGCCTACAGGAGCAAAAGGTTTTCTCTACAAAAAAGGGCTTGACGTTAGAAAAATAACGCACTCAGCCAAGGCTTCAATCATCTGCATGCACTCACCATTTGTGTGGCTTTACAGCTGGCTGCATATGCACCAAGGCTGAGGATCCTAAATGCATCTGGGGAGCAGAAGCTGGTCAGTGTAGTCCTCTCCACCCACATTTGTTGTTTGTTTTTGTAACACATGTTAGGCACAAAAGAGACAAACAAGGGTAAAATGGTTTTCTCCTTTCCCATCTGGTTTTCTGCCAGAAATACAAAGCCCAAACAAAGCATCAGGTTTCAATGTTCGGACTGTTGAGGAACCCCACTTTCTTGTTCTCTATTCTTCACCATTATTCTTAACAAATATTTTTTCACCAAGTAGAAAGCAATGTAGTTCAATAAAATAGAGAATTATTTACCTGTACCTTCTTCCCAATTCCTGGTTGTTAACACTATATTTGTGGCATAGTGCCTCTTGTGCTTTATTTCATGGGAATGTATTCTCTTATAAGAGCTATATATTCACAGTATTTTAAACTCCTGACATTAAAAATACAGATAATCTTTGGTGTATAAATGACCTCCATTGTATGAATTATTAAAAATTTCTGCTGTTTGGAGGTCAAAATATATATCTCATGGAAATAACTTTAAAAATAGTGGAGAGGACCCAGGATTAGAAAAAAGAGAAAAAGAGAGAGAAGGGTGGGGAGAAAAGAAAGAAGGAAAGAAGGGAAGGAGGGAGGGAGGGAGGGAGGGAGGGAGAGCTATACAGACATATAAAATATAGTATACATTCTTCGCATGCAAATATTTTTTCCCATTCTGTAATGCAAACTGGAAATCCCTTAGCAGCTGAGCAACATGGAGAGACACAAGAACTATCTCTTTAAGGTGGGTAAACTATGTGCCTAATAGGGAGATGATAATGGCCTCTGTCCCATAGAAGGATCAGCATGTGACAACTTTGCCACAGCTTCCATTTCAAGAGGGTACACAATTTCATAAGCTGAGGATGGTGTGGTTACCCCACCTGTTCACATTTATTGAGCAACTGTAAATTGGGTGTTTTAATGCCAAACATTGCCAAAAAATAATTAAACCCTCCTAGATAAAGACTTTTGAATTAGAAATATGTCTAATATTTGGCATATATTAGACATATTTTGGCAATCTATTATTTTGGCAATCTATTATTTTCAGTTGGCGTAGTGAGCATTAATGGACATTACTAGCAATTTGTTCTGTTTAAGTTTTTAACTTAAATTTTTTCACATTTGTAAAATTAGAGAATGGTAGCATGAATTCATATATTTCAATCCATTTTGGTTCAAAACTCAATATTTTGAATCCTTTGTATCAGTTATTCTTTTTTTTCCTTTCTTTTTCATTGTCAAAGTATTTCATAGCAAAGTTTAGATCTCTAATCACGTGTACTTCAGTTATACAACTATAAGCAAATGTATTTTCTAACACAATGACAGTGCCATCATAACTCCCAACGAAAACATTTTTTCCTATCATCTATTAATAATACCCTGTTTATAACAAATTTTCCTTTATTGCCTATACAATGTATTTTATGTTAGGTTTGTTCAAATCAATATCTAAACAAGGTGTACACCTTAAGTTTGGTTATGTATCTTAAATGTATTTTCACCTTAAGCAGTTCCCTCTTTCTCTATTTTTTCCCGTAACACTGACCTATTATCAGATTCATATTGGTGTCATAATTCTCAGTGGCTATTTTTCCCTTAAGCATTATTTAACTCGTTTCTTTATTCCTCATGTGTCCTCTAACTGGAAGCTAACCCTAAAAGTGAGTCATGTCTTAAAATGTCATAACAATGTATTGATTTTGTCATTGGTAGGCTCTAACACAGTTTAGATTGTGAATAAAGAAAAGTAAAGTATCTTGGTATCTGCCATGGTTGGTGGAATATCCCAAATTGTCCAATAGTATTCATATAACATACAAGACGTCCTACACATGGGATGCTGTACTTTTTTCATGACATCTACCTGGTTTCTATCATTCTTAGAATTTATAGACTCAGAACTAGGAGTTTCTCATTGAGAAATGTTGTGAGAATTAATCAGAGAGTTAGGGACTAGATATTGAAGTAACTTTAATTCTTAAAATAAAAGATCATTTTACATATTTGACTTTGAATTGAGCCTCTAAGATGGAATGGTAGATGATGCCTCGAAAGGTAAGAAGTAATTTGGGGATTCTATTTGAATACGCAGGATCACCTAATGCAGTAGATTACTGCTGCAATATTAAGTTGTTGCTGCATGGCTGATTACAGGGTGAAAAAACTCCAGAAAACATAACAGTGTTTTCACACTTCAAGTTATGCTGTGCTTTCATAAATAATCAAAGCCATAGTTGTTGAAAGGCAAAAAGTATAACAACATGATACCTAAGAGAAGTGTGCCTTGGTGATAGTGGTATGTAATACAGTAACATTCATAATCGTGAGAACAATATTATTATGTAGATATGTTACTATTTCATTTTAGGAATGAGGAAATTGAGATATAAAAACCTAATAATTTCCCAAAGATCAGTAATGAGTGGACGTTCTTGGAGCTGAACTGAAGGTCTAGCTCTTAACCATGACACCATATTGCCTCTTAGAATAGAGTTTTGAAATTACTATTGTCTTTATATGAATTCCAGATTTCAGAGGAACTTCTCCTCACACTCTAATACCAACCCTGAATCTTGCAATGTCTCTTAGTTCATGTGCATTTCTAATGTGAGTATTTATATACTAATACACATTTAATGTTAACAATATGTACAAATATTCCTTCTGTTTTAAACAGGTCATCAATTACCTTGGTCCTTTGGAACTGATTCTTAATACTCCTAGCCATCATAGAGTTCATCATGGTAAGGAAGTTCTATTTCTTCTCTCTTTTGTTCTTCATTTCTTTAAAAATTACATTATTATTTGCCTTACTTCATTTAATCGCAATTTCCCGGTATAGCCAGCACACATTTTACAAATAAATATAATTTCTTCTTTTCTATCTTCTTTGGTACAACTTCCAAAGTATGAACTGGTGGGGTGGGGTGGGAGAATTTATCTATCTGACTTTTGGATTTTTCTTTCTACCTAAATCTTAGCTCCATTGTAGTAGAAAATGAGTTAACCAGCTGAGGAGATACACATTTTATGTTTTAAAGGATCCTGTCAAAGGCTACTCCTTGACCCAGTGCTGAAGGTCATTCCTATCTATAGTCAGAGTTAGTGGTCTTGAAAACTGTTGATTTAAGGAAAGCCCAATAAACAACACTTTACTTTCCTGCCTGAGGCCTTGAACAATCTCAACATAATCTGCCTTTCCCTGATAAGGAGAAAATTCTGTGACTAGTGCCTAAGATATAAAGATACCAACTTAAGTAATAACAAAAATGTTTACATTGTGGACCCCAAGCCCTATATAGCAATGTGCATATAAGCATTATTTGTGATAGAAAAAATAGAAATAATTCAAATGTTTTTCAGCAGTAGACTAGATACATTTTATATCATATATCTAACAGAGAATGATATAACAATGAAAATGCCCAAACCATTGCTACGTTCAAAGGCACGAATAAATCTCACAAACAATACTGGGAGAAGAAGTCCAGTAAAATAAATAAATAAATGAATGAATGAATAAATAAATAAATAAATAAATGCTATTGTCCTGTTTTTATAAGTTTCCAGTCTTCCCCAGCCACCCTGAATCCCTGAAGCCCTGCCTTCCCAAGAAGGGCAGGTCCCTATGTTTATGGCAGGGAGCTGAGCAGAAGCACAGGCTTCCACAGGAGGAGAGAGGACAGGTCAGGGTGCAAAAGCGGTTTCCTCTTCCAAACCCAACAGTCATTCTCCCACCTCCAAGGAGGACAGAAAGTCCCTGGTTTATGATGCTTTGACTTCTAATTTTTGGACTTTAACAATGATGGGAATGTGATCCGTATGCAGCAGACACCATGTCTTGAGTACCCATAGAGCTTTTCTATGTTTTACTTTCAGTACTGTATTCCATAAACCATGTGAGATATTCAACACTTTCTTATGAAATAAGCTTTGTATTAGATGATTTTTGCCTAAGACTGCAGGCTGATGTAAGTGTTCTGAGTGTGTTTAAGGTAGGCTAGGCTAAGTTATGATGTTCAGCACCTTAGCCACATTTAAAAGCATTTTTGACTCTCAACGTTTTTCAGTATAGATGGTTCATCAGGATGTAACCCCACCATAAGTCAAGAAACATCTCAGTGAGGGAGTGGGGAGGCCAAGGCAGTTAGACACTTGCAGTTCCTTCCATAGAAAAGGAAATATAAGGAGTGGAGAAGTACAAGCCCACATTACAAAATGAAACAGTTGCTATTTCTTCTGACTGCATTTTCACACACACCTTCTTATCGACAGCACTATTGACATTTTTGGACAGATACTTCTTTGCTGTGGATGATGTTCTGTGCATTGTAAGAAATTTAGCAACCTCACTGGCCCCCACCCATTAGATGTCATTACTATCCCATCCCAGGTGTGACTACCACTCATGTCTCCAGAAATTCCCAAATGTCTCTTAAGGGACAAAATGCTTCCCTACTTATTCAGAACCATTATTTAAATCATCTATATATAGCAGTGCTGTCTGCGTCTGTTCAGCCAATCTCTCTCTATTTTTTCACTATGGAAGAATTTTCCTTCTATCTGTGCTTTCCAATATGTGCTTGTATGCATGGAACCCATGCAAAGGAATGGGAACTCATGAGGATAGTTGAGTTTCCTGGGGTGGTGACTTAGTTAATTAATTATTCTTTTTTTTAGATTTACAGTCATGTGGATGTCATCATGTCTACTTAAGGTTTTTGAAAAATGTATTAAAGAAATAATAAGCAGCTATTTACTTTGTAATTTGATTATTTTGCGGCAGGAAAAACATACATGATAAGAGTTTTGAAAAAATTAAGGGTAATTTAATTTTCACTATGGCTTTTATTATCTTAAAAAAACTAGTCAAGTCTCACTCTAAGTGGAAAATTTTCTTCCTGAAACAGCTGCAGAGAAAAGGAACAGAGGGACATTACATCAAAAATTAAAAATAGAAACATGTTTACATGAATTTCTTATTTTATTTCTTATTTATAATTCTTGGTATCATGTAATTCTTAATTTTTATTGAATGGTCCTGAAAAATTATTTACATTTATTCCATTTTTTATACTGAAAAACTGTGACAAGAAAGCATACATATAGTTTTAAGAAAATCCTTGCTTTTTTTTTTTACTATAATTAATTGAAAAATAAAAATGAAAATTCCTTCACTAGAGAATAAAATCTGATGTTGTAAGTGAGAAGACAGTCCCAGGAAAATTATTCTCCTGCTTAAATCTTAATTTTACGAATATGTTCTAAAAACAAGATGGAGGTATCTCAAAAAACATAGCTTTATTTCTCTGAAAAAAGATTTTCTAATATTTTGTCTCATAGGCAGAAATCGTTATTGCGTAGACAAAAATTATGCCGGTGTTCTTATTATTTGGGATAGAATTTTTGGTAAGTAAAACGTATTAAAATCAAAAAATTAAATCAGCTTCTTCATGTACAGGAAGCCAAATCTCATATCCTTAATGTTTATCTTCCAGGGACATTTGAAGCAGAAAATGAAAAAGTTGTATATGGTTTAACACATCCCATTAATACATTCGAACCAATCAAAGTGCAGGTAACATACTTGTTTTTTATTCTTTCTGCATTTATATGATTTCATAAATCTTAAAAGAAAAATCAGCTGTTGAAAAGTGGAAGTATATTAGAATAACGTGAAAACAATTTTTAAATATAGAAAATTCAGAAATGAGTCTGGTATAGAAGCAAAAGTTTGAATCAGATTAGGCAAAATACATTTAAAAACAACTCATTATAAGAATTTTCAAATATGTCTACTGCCTAGAATGAAAGTGTCTTTTAAACATATCCTTTCCCAGAATAGACCTGAAATATATTCATGTATTCAGTAGGAGCAATAGCAACATGTATAATTAAGGCTGATCCCACAGTAAGAAAAATATTTGCTTTCAGGGTGCATGACTCCAGTTAGAAATTCAACATGAGGCCTTTGCCTTACCCTTCTTGGACCCAAGTGTCAGGAACTATTACAGATTGGTTAAGTCTGTGCATTACCTCACTTGCTAAGACTTGTCAGACTGGACCAGTTTTCTGTTAGACATGTGGTACTAGTTGTTCATCGGTCTCCATGGTTGGCACTAGAGAAATGAGGAATGTCTATGAAGCTCTGATCTGTCAGAGGCAGACCACCGCAAATCCTCCTGGGGTTAGGCACTCATAAATGAGAAAAAGATAAGAATCCTTGAAAAACTGAAGAGGTTGGTCAATGACAGCTCTGTACAGGGGACTGCTTACAACATTCGGCAAGTGAGGAAATGACTAGCTCATGTTGGGTCAGCTTTTCCAGACTACTTTGAGTTTCACTGAAAGTTGAAATAACACAATTGTTGACATCTATTGAGCTTTTACTATGTGCACTGCTAACAGTGCAGCAGAAAAATATTTAGTGTGGCTATTACTAAAATCTTATGCAGTAGTGAATCTTTTTATTCCCATTTTTTACTGGAGGAAACCTACGTTCCCAGAATTTAGATAATTCACCCAAGGTCACAAAGCTTGTTAGCTGTAAACTTAACCAAGGTAGGTTGAAAGCTAAGCTCAAGACTTGCTTAACTCAATACACTGTGCTGCTTCTTTACATAAAAGGCCATAACAAATTGCCTTCACTTGTTCAGTGAAAGTCATGTTTTTCTTTTCTTTTCTCACTCTGTCACCCAGACTGGAGTGCAGTGGTGCAATCTCAGTTCACCGCAACCTCCGCCTTCTGGGTTCAAGTGATTCTCCTGCCTCAAAATCCCATGTAGCTGGGACTACAGGCACTGGCCACCATGCCTGGCTAATTTTTTGTATTTTTAGTAGAGATGGGGTTCCACCGTGTTACCTAAGATGGTCTTGATCTCCTGATCTCGTGATCCGCCCACCTTGGCCTCCCAAAGTGCTGGGATTACAGGCATGAGCCACGTGCCTGGCCAAAAGGCATCTTTATCTCCTAGTACACCAAAAGAAGAAAGGTGATTATCTCTCTTCTTTATTCTCAACTACATGGCATTTCTCTCTGCGTCTCTTAGTTACACTTTACTAAGAGTATGATATGGCTGGGCGTCGTGGCTCAGGCCTATAATCCCAGCACTTTGGGAGGCAGAGGCAGGTGGATTACAAAGTCTGGAGTTCAAGACCAGTCTGACCAATATAGAAAAACCCTCTCTTTATTAAAAAATACAAGAAAACTGCCTGCCGGTAGTCCCAGCTACTTGGGAGGCTGAGGCAGGAGAATCCCTTGAACCCAGGAGGTAGAGGTTGCAGTGAGCCAGATTGCGCCACTGCACTCCAGCTTGGCCAACAGAGTGAGACAAAATAATAATAATAAAGGAATATGATACATTTTTCAGGAGAATAGAGGCAAATATTTTGGATCTTAATAATAAGCTTTATGTAAATACGACCAGTTGAGAAATAGTTCATTGAAAGCTACCTTTTCTTCACTTCATGTAGCAGTCATCTCCTTATTGCAGCCATTAAAAAAGAGATAGACAACTTCATCTGTATCCTCTAGGGCAGAGCTTTGCAAACTCAATATGCATGTGAATCAAAGGATCCTACTAAAATGCAGATTCTGTTCAGTAGGTCTGTGATCTGGTCCAAGATCCTATGTTTCTAAGCAAGCCCCTGTGTGAAGCCAGTGCTGCTGGTTGATAGGTGATTTCTTTCAGAAGCAAGACTTTGGGAGTGTCTTGCTGAGGAAAACGGGGTTTATAACTGAGATAGAATGAGAAAGTGAATATTAAATACAATGAGAGCTGCAAAAATTGTGAGATGATTCGAATTTTGAGAGGAACAGTGGTCAGAAAATCACAGCTGTTTATGAACAGCTGCTGAAGCTCTGTTGGGTTCAATTCTCCAGGTCTTTCGTCTCACATTTCCCTTAGTCTTTTACATGTTCACTTATATTGTCAGAAATGTCAAGTCGGCAAGTTGTGATAATTAGGAATACTTGTACTTATAAAAACATTTACTTATTTTCACCCCCATTCCTTTATATGGAGCTAAACTTCTTACCTATTCTTCAGAGGCATCAAAGCAACTTAGGATGGGTTCCACCAGACAGAAGGGTTTTGTTTGTTGGTTTTTCTTATTATTAGCACCTTGCCCTCCTTTGGCATCACACATTTTCAGAGCATTGGGAAATAAATAAGTGAAAAACAGTATTTTCTTTTAAAACATGACCATGTATTTCTTATGGCTTGTTTCCAGAATGATAGAAACAAAATTGTAGTCAGTTTCTGAAATTACAAAGCAGGTAAGTATATTAATGTACATTGTAACTTCTAAGCACATTCGTTTTCTATATTATGGTTCTTATTATTTCAGAGCCCCAAGCTAAGTTTCTTTCTTTCTTTCTTTCTTTTGTTTTAAGATGGGGTTTCACCATGTTGGTCAGGCTGGTCTTGAACTCCCAACCTCAGGTGATCCGCCCGCCTTGGCTTCCAAAATGCTTGGATTACAGGCATGAGCCACTACACCCGGCCCCAAGCTAAGTTTCTACATAACATTTACCTATTCCTCAGATCTATCCCATTAATCCATTTATGCCTGAGGTTGCAATTTTTTGAATTTTTACAGTCAGACCTTGGCAATGACCTTAAGTAGTAGAATATAAATAACTCCTACATGCTTAGCGTTCCAATAATGGAACACTGGGCATAAATTGTTAAGTTCTTAATTGTTTAAATGCTTCAGATTCCTTATTGTGATATTCTAATCAATTTTAAAGTTTTATTTATAATCTTAAAGGTTCAAATTGTTTAAAACACAGTGAAAATAATAGTAAAATCACAAACTCTGACAAAGCCAAAGCTTGTTTCTCCATTAATTTATTTCTATATTTATCATAGAACTCACCTCTAGAGCCTACAGCTGATGCTCAAACTTCAGGAGTCTTTTTAGTCCCCTGGTGCATTATCATCATATATGTGTCATAAATGGCAAACGTTTATTGAACACTTATCACATGTGGGCACACTTTTCACTTCTGTACATGTCAAATGCATGCTATTTAAAGAATGTGGATTCCTGCTATGAGATACCAGGGGAACTTTTGCCTCTGTCAGCAAACTTTTCTAATTACAGAATATGGACCATTTGATACTCAGAAGTCTACTATCACAAACTACTTACAGGATTTTTATGACTATGTATTGTCTGTAATACAAAGTAGTAAATAGAGAATTGTGTTTTAAAATTTTAAACAGATATGTAATCTTTATATGTTGCCACGTTCAACTTTTGTATCCAGTGAGCAACACTTAGAAAAGTTGTCATTGCCCGGGTGTGTTGGCTCACACCTATAATCCCAGCACTTTGGGAGGCTGAGGTAGGCGGATCATGAGGTCAAGACATCAAGACCATCCTCGCCATGATGAAACCCCGTCTCTACTAAAAATACAAAAATTAGCCATGTGTGGTGGCACGAGCCTGTAGTCCCAGCTACTCGGGAGGCTGAGGCGGAAGAATCGCTTGAACCCAGGAGGCGGAGGTTGTAGTGATCCAAGATTGCGCCACTGCACTCCAGCCTGGCGACAGAGCAAGACTCCATCTCAAAAAAAAAAAAAAAAGTTAAAAACCAGGCTTGTCAACATGGTGAAACCCATCTCCACTAAAAATACTAAAATTAGCCTGGCACGCTGGCGTGTGCCTATAATCCCAGCTATCCAGGAGGCTGAGACAGGAGAATCACTTGAACCTGGGAAGTGAAAGTTGCAGTGTTCCAAGATTCTGCCACTGCACCCCAGCCTGGGTGACAGATTGAGGCTCTGTCTTGGAAAAAGAAAAAAAAGAGAGGTAAGGTGTCATTAGGCAGGGATGTTGAGTTCACAGGCTGCTAGTTAATTCCACTGGAAGCAAAGCCTCTTAACTCATTTTTTTTTCTACTTTGCTGATTGTCCAAACAATTGCCTTATTTTTACATTTCAAAATGATAATTTTATTGAACTTCAGAAATATTGACAATAACACACTTAATAGTACACAGAGTGCACAGAGTAGACTACAGCATGGAATGCAAGTATACATTAATTTCTAATCATGTATAACATGTTTTAAAATATGTAAATTACCATGAACAATAAAATAATATACATAATTTTTTGTATTTGATCTTTCTGTCCTATTTATCTTATTTGAAATAAGCTCTTTTTTTTTTTTTTATTCTTTCTAGTTTCACCACTTATTTTACATATGGACTACATTCTGGGCCACACCTGGATTCTTCAATAAGTTTTCTGTCATATTTAAAGGACCAGGATGGGGTCCAGGTAAACCAAGACTTGGCCTAAGTGAAGAAATCCCAGAGGTAAATAGAGGTCACAAAGCTGGAGATGGGGAAGATTCGTCTCATGTTGTCAGGTCTACAGCCAGCCTGTACATAGGCTGCTTTCATGCAAATCTGTAAAAAGATGTTCCGTCAGTCAGATGCAGTCCTGTGGTCCTTAACTTAATGCATGTCCACCAACTATGTGCCAATTCAAGGAGTGCCTTCTCCTAAGTGAGCTCTGCCTCTTACCTGAGAGCACACATTGTGGAGCAGAGCTACAGAGGCTGGTTTTCAGATCCCTTTAACTCCTGCCTTTGTGTAGGGCATAACTTCACAAATACATGCAGCTCAGACACAGAGTCCTAGAACGCTAGAGATGGAGGAAAACTTAGGAATGAGTCAGTCTGACCTTAATTCCACTCATGAAAAACTGAGGCCCACAAAACAGATGTGTCTAAAGTCACATCAAGACAGTGTGGATTTTTAGTCAAACTATAACTATATTCATTTTATAGTAGAGTAGAAGAATTATATACAGAAACCACATTGAAACCAAAAATTAAAAAATGTAGATCTTTAAAACACAGGAACCCAAATGAAAAATTCAGTTCCAACCCAGAATTACTCTTCTGGAGAAGAAAGAGAAGTTTCTTTTTAATCATTTAGAATATAAGTTTGAATTTCTTAGCAAATAAATGCCATGAATATTAATGTAGAAACAATTACTAAAGTAAATGATTCTTGATTTCAAGGATGATATGATACTATGCATACAAAAGTTAGCCTGTAGTATTTCAAGGAAGTAAAATAAGATGTTTTATTTAAACACTATTATTTTGGGCCAGGCATGGTGGCTCATGCCTATAATCCCAGCACTTTGGGAGGCCGAGGCGGGCGGATCAAGAGGTGGAGAGATTGAGACCATCCTGGCCAACATGGTGAAACCCTGTCTTTACTAAAAATACAAAAATTAGCTGGGCATGGTGGCACGTGCCTGTAGTCCCAGCTACTCGGGAGACTGAGGCAGGAGAATTGCTTGAACTCAGGAGGTAGAGGTTGCAGTGAGCTGAGATAGTGCCACTGCACTCCAGCCTGGCAACAGGGCAAGACTACGTCTCAAACAAACAAACAAACCAAAACATATGGTTTTGGGTCAAACTGTAATTATATTCATTTTATAGTAGAGTAGAAAAATTAAATACAGGAACCACATTGAAAATAAAAAATAAAAAATGTAGATCTTTAAAAGACAGGAGCCCAAAGGAAAAATTCAATTCCAACCCAGAACTTCAGTTACTCTTTTGGAGAAAAAAGAAAAGTTTCTTTTTAATCATTTAGAATATAAGTTGTGATTTCCTATCAAATAAATGTCATTAATAGTAATGCAGAAACAACAGGAAAAGTAAACTACTTTTGATTTCAAGGATGGTATTATGTGTACAAAAGTTAGCCCTGTGATGATTCAAGGAAATAAAATAAGATGTTTTATTTAAATATTATTATTTTGAAAATATCCTAATCTAAATAATGATATTTTCTCACTCAGTTACCAAAGCTTCTGGGACTAAGTTTCCCAGACATTTCGTTTATGTTCATAATTAGTTGTGCAATAATCTACCAACTTGATACAGGTGAAATAATTTACATTTCAACTAAAAAAAAATCTGTTTGCTATGATCCATTTATTATTTTTCTGTCAATAAATATCTCTTAGTGATTACAGTATTTTAAAGTTATATGAGTGCAGGAGCCTGTGTTAAAAAAAAAATAGATGTAGGCTGGGTGCAGTGGCTCACGCCTGTAATCCTGGCACTTTGGGAGGCTGAGGCCGGCGGATCACAAGGTCAGTAGTTCAGGACCAGACTGGCCAACATGGTGAAACCCCACCTCTACTGAAAAATACAACTATTAGCTGGGCATGGTAGCTCGTGCTTATAATCCCAGCTACTTGGGAGACTGAGGTAAGAGAATTGCTTGAACCAGGACCCAGCAGTCGGAGGTTACAGTGAGCCCAGATTGCGCCACTGCACTCCAGCCTGGGCTACAGAGCGAGACTCCATCTCAAAAAACACATAGATGTGTAGCATTTTGGAAAAAGTCAAATGCTAGAGTAGAAACGTACTTTATTGGAAACAACTTTCCTGGCGTTTCCAATAAACAGCTTTAGAAAAATTGATATCAATAAAATAATATTTTTCTTTGAGGCATGATTACCTGCCAAGATCACCTTCTGTTTTTGTTGTTGTTGTTCTTTTGTTTGTCTGTTTTTTGAGACAGAATCTTGCTTTGTCACCCAGGCTGGAGTGCAGTGGCATAATCTTGGCTCACTGCAACCTCGCCTCCCGGGTTCAAACAATTCTCCTGCCTCAGCCTCCTGAGTAGCTGGGAGGCTACAGGTGCATGCCACCACACCCAGCTAATTTTTATATTTTTACAAGGTTTCACCATGTTGGATAGGCTAGTCTCAAACGCCCAATCTCAGGTGATCTTCTCACCTAGGCCTCCCAAAGTGCTGGGCTTATAGGCATGAGCCACTGTGCCCAGCCCCTAACTTCTGTTTTTTTTCTTTTACTTTGCTGTCATATATGATCATCAACATATTATCAAATAGGGAAGATCCAACCCATTCATTTTGGCTATCTTTATTATTTACACATATTGCTGAATTAGTTCTTACGCTGCTCTTTAAGGCAGACTACATCATAGTTGTAATGTTTTTAAAATGAGAAAAAAGTTTCCCAACTTACAGACATGTTTCTATTTTTTTAAATTGTTAGTTTTTTTTTGTTTGTTTGTTTTTTTTTTTTTTTTTTTTTTTTTTTTTTT